TCTTTAGACACGCGGTGATATCCTGCGTCTTCCGAAGATCCGGGCACTCGCACCATTGTGGTGGAGTGATTTCCTAAAATTGCGTAATGAGACCCCAAGCCACTCACTGTGCCGGAATGCCAACTGTCGGAGGGGGTACCCCGTTGCCGCGTATAGACCTTCTCTCACCTTGTGTGCCCGTCGGCTGGCGAGTTTCACTCTTCGGAGGACTTGGTGCAGATGCGACGTCGGTCTTGCAAGAGGGCGACCTTAGGGTGCTTTGAGTGAATATACTTCACTCGGTAGATGGGTAGGTGGCCCCTCGGTCGACTAGGCCAAGGGTGGACTTATAACCAAACTCTTCAGAGGAGATTCTCAATCCTGGCCTTTTTCTTGATGTCTCAGGGGTGCTAGCCGCCTGGCCTTTACTTGCTCCCAGACCACTAGGGTAGGGAGACCGCTTCCGATATCGAAGTGAGTTGGGGGGGGGTGCTACTCAGACGAACCCACAGGCCAAATGTGTCCTGGGGTTCTATTCGCACTTGTGTCTTACCAGACAACTGTCTTTGGCGGGGGGCCAAAATATATCCCATCCCTGAACAGGTGGGTAGACTTAGTAAGTACCTTGGAAGCACGACGGAGGTGTGATATATAGATCGCAAATTGAGTAGTATTTAGTATAGTCCTATCTCTTAACTCTTTTACTCAGTCTTTACCCCCAAGACCTGATTCTTTATTCTGCTTGGCTGGGTATATCGACCGAGGGGCCGAGAGGTCATGGACCGAGAGACCAGGAGTTAGGGACCGAGAGGTCGAGAGCTAGGGACCGAGAGGCCGAGAGTTCATCGATCTAAGGGCCAACACCAATCGACTGAGGACCGAGGTCCATTAATGCAGGAGTAAGGTCGACCATTATCGACAGGGGCCGAGGGTACACCGACTTAAAGGCCAAGGTCAACCTTTTATCAAAGACCGAGGTATACAAATGATAGACCACAGTTGACTTTAAGGGACTAGGGCCCACTTCGAGGAACCGCGGTTGACGCCTTGACGTGGTGGCTAATTTGGACGCATTAACCGTACTTTTGCTCATCCAACAGTCGTTCCCCGTGCCCTTTAGCGCCCATTCACTCCGTTTCCTTACTCAACGGTCGCTCCTCCTTGGCAAGTCAATTTCTCTTTGACTTACTGGTCCTCTGACCTACCAGTTCTTGAAACTCTTCACCACATCGGCGTTTACATGCAATGCATCATTGCAATATGCTTTTCCCACATGGGCCGATCTGAAAATTCAGATGACCCGGCAGTATGCACCGACCAACAAAGCACACCGTAACCGGTCGAGGTTTTTGGCGTGTCGCCAAGGCAAGCGTGAGCTTGCGGCATAGTTGAAAGAGTAAAGAGCTCTCATTGCTGCCATGGTCATAGACCCTATGCCTGAAACAGTGACTGTCACGGTCTTCATTGAGAGCCTCAAAGGTGGCGTTGCCAGAACGGAAGTCTTCCGGGTAAACCCGTCCTCATTCGAGGAAGCTGTTGGAGTGGCATGGAATGCCGAGACCAACTCCATGGCCGCTAAACCTACCACTTATAACTACTCGTCTGATGGGTCTGTACTCATGGACTGTAGTCAAGTGGAGGATGAAGAAGCTGAGCTTCGTGCTGCAGAGCAGCAAATTGTGCGCAGATGTTATATTTGCAAGAGCACGGGCCATTTGATGGCAAAATGCCCTGCAAGAAAGGCATATTTGGCCTCGAAGGATCGACGCCTTATGGGTAAACCTTCTGGCTTGCCGCGGGGAAACAGCGGAGCCAGGGGGCGTACTACTGGGGAAGAACTGAGTTCTGTTGAACCTCTAGGAGGGTTAAGTAAGCAGGGCCCAGCCGCAAAGAGATCTGAATTCTCAAAAACGGAGCGAGAATGCAAGCCAGGCTTGCTAGTCGTCGAAGAGACGGTCAAGGGCTTTGATAAGCCATGGATCATTTTGATCGATGCGGGGGCATCGGTCAATTATGTGCGCCGTGCCACCGTGAAAGGTAGTCAGCAGTATGCTGAAGCGCTTGTAGCGCGTGAGAGTGACACAGTCATGACTCGCTTAGCGACGGGTACGCGTGTTATGGTACCCAAAGTCCCGATGGACTTAAATGTAAAGTTCTTGGACTTTAACAGCATGGAACGATATTTGGTCTGAGACCTGGATGCGAACGAGGTATGACTGCATCCCAGGCATGGCATGGATTAATTGGAGGTCGAAGACCTCAGGCGCTACGCGCATTGGATATGAAGGGGCTTTGAGGGCCATAATCCCAGTTGGACCGACGGATCTGTTCGCGACCAATACCGAAAATCGGTACACAACAGCCGATGCCAGAAGCTACGGAGGGCTCATGACGTAAATGGCTTTGTGTCACCGCACATCCATTGCTACATGGATTACCATGGGGCGTGTCTGATTCCATCGCGAGCAAACATGTACTGCTGCCACTCAAGAAACAAGCGTTTAAATGGAGCAAAGGCTCCGACTATTTACTGCATATTACTCTATAAGGGCTCTGAGTCGAGGCTTAAAGGAGTGCATGGCAGTCCGCATCTTTGCAAAGACACCACAAGCACTGTGGGACCATGGCCTCGTGTCAATTATTGGATCCCATGTTAAGTAGCCTTACGGCAATTTCATCTTTATTATGCAGAACGGGCAAGCATCAACAGTTGTCGTAGGCTACAATGCTGCTGTGGAATGTAAGAGATGGTGAAGATATATTTTTGGACCTGTACCTGGGCGCAAGTATGCTGTCAAAATCTTATCTGCCACTAAACGAGACAACGATACGAGCTTGGATCTTTTCAAGGCTTCCTAGCCAACAATGCAAGCCGACGACATCAGAGCGATCCAAGGTGGTCGGTGAACAGCTTAACCGTGCTTGCCCTGACAAGCCGACCGCATACTTTGACGTGTGGCGGCGCCATCCTGAGCAGCATATGAATTGCTCGCTAATTAGTACAAAGAAACCGGGCAGCTTCCAGCAGGCGAACCTGACAAATGGAGAAAGTTGGAAAAGCAGCATGCGACAACTACGGGCTACTGGTAAGCGCGAGAGCGGGCACGTCAAAACGTCTACAGACGATACACGACTACCACTCTGCAACGTATAATAGCCGAGAGCCGTCAGCGTACAACCACTGGACTCAACCGAGAAACAGGGGTTGCTAATTAAGCTTAGGATCTACCAGACACCATGCAAACATTTACTCCGGTTTAAAGTATTGTCACCTCTCTATTTCCGCTTTAACAAAACAGTCTGATATCCTTGCCCCGGTCACTTAGCTTTAACTAACCGATGTGAGGAACCAAGTGGCACTGATTCAAATTTCTTTCTCGAATTAATGCACATTCAGCCAGCCTGTCGCGTACGGCTTATGCATCTGCATTGCCTCTGACAGGTTTGCATTATTGCAGGACAACACCTAAACAACGGCGGGCGCTGTCTACTATTCCGACTTCGTGAACTTTTGTCTCTCAAACTATTCCGGCTTCGAGAACTTTTGTCTCCCAAACAAAATCAAGCGCTGTGACGCGATGAGGATAAAGATATTTCGCTTACCTAAAGGCTGAAAACGGGTTAAAGCCTTGCGACACACGCAGCGCTTCACGATGTCTCGAATGCTTGCGTCGTGCCTTTTCGCCGAGGTTTTCTAACCAGCATATATGTATGCAGGTCCACGTATAGCAGACAGGTTGTCCTGTGCACAAGCTTGTGGCATTCTATGATCTCTGTGCAGTAGTACAGACAAAATTGACGATACTTTGGCAATTTTTGATTTAGAAGACACGAAGACGCGAAGTCGGTCAATTTAGCAATTCGAAATCTTCGACGCACTATCAATTTGGTAAGAGAAACTAAAACCAATTCCACTCAGCCACTGTTGCATTGCATTGAGGAGAAACGTTTTTATTTCCAAAATGCGCTATTCTCTGGCTTTCCTGTCATCACCAGTAAGGTCATGATTGCGCTACAATTGATCATGTTGGCACAACGCATCCATGCTGTCCTTGCACCACGACAAGCACCTACGCGTAATCATGAGCTGTCAACAACGTAAGGGAGACATGGACTGTTTATTGTAAGTCAATTAAACAGTTTCGAGAACAAACTTTTTGTCTGTGTCTCCCATAGTTTTTCTGAAGATTTGCGTTCTATGCTGATCCATGGATGGCAAAGACAATCCAGACGCAATCACACTAATTAGCCTATGAATGCTAAAATAAAAAACAAGCAATAAAACGGCAACATTTTTACAGCTAAAAAATTATCTCAGCATTATACGCGTTACTATGTGTCATCACTAAGTTAATCGAATTCTACGCTGGAATAATTTGCTGATACACCATATGCAGCCAAAGTATTGAGGTGTTACAGCTGTGCTTTTGTTTATAAACACTGTCCTGCATTTTTGCTCTAACAGACCAGTCAAGTCTGTTCCACCAAAGACGGCCACAGAGCGTGCAATTAACCGGGAAACAGGCTTGCTAGTTGGTCATCATGTTGTTTAAAAGATTATAGCTAAAGCAAGCTTTAACGACATCCAAACTACAGTACGTCATTGCTTCTTCCAGCGCAAAAAAAAGTTGCATATTCTTCGGCCTGCGTCAGTCACGAATTATCCGATTTACCTCACACTCATTCCTTCTGCTGCATGCATTATTTCCCATAAGTGCTTAAAGTTTTGTAATTGCGACTGTCATTACTTTCATTGCAACGGCACACATTTGGTCCATTCACAGCAGCAAACGTTTAGAGCAAAGCGCTGATTCCTTCGATTCAGTTAGCCTTATTTTGCCAACTAGGAAATCTATTAAGATTTGCTTAATTTTGGAGAGTGGCTACATTTCGTGCAAATGGACTTTATTTGTTTTATTTGAGTTGCAGTTAGGTGGTGGGAATTGCGCTAAAATCTCTCATTTCTCTATTCCCACGCAAAAAAAAGCTAACGTAAACAACGTGTTCCAGCTGTAATATCAATGACAACATTCGCCATCGAGCACAAGCTTCTTGTCTCGAGCGGTTTGATGGACGAGCCGCATTTCCGCCGACTTCTTAAGTTCCAAACGCGTCGGAGAGAAGCCCTAGTCGGCAATGATCTGGAGATCCGCACTAGAATCAGTCACGTCTTGACATCAAAAGATAACACCACCGCTTGGGTCACCGTCTACTACATGCATATTCATCGACATTCCGACTCTAGATATGGCGATGACTACCAGTGGGTGCTAAAAAAGCGCTACTCTGAGCTAGAAGCCTTCCGACGACTGCTTTTCAAGCGAATCGAAAAGTGGGAGCACACTGTTCAGCGGGAATTTGCGAACAAGATAACCGTTCACAAACAGCAGATATTTGCAGTCGTCTCAAACGCAATGCGCCGCGCTATTTCGCCGTCATTTCCCAAGAAGCGCCTCCAATCCGATAAGCCTGCAGTCTTAAAGGAGAGAGCCATCGGGCTGCCAAACTTCGTTCGGAAGCTGCTGGGGGTATACACAGACCTGGCAGTATACAAGACAAACAGTCAATTGCAGGCCGGAGCGTTTGCTTCCTCTTGGGCGCAGTTGTGTACCATTTTCCTAGAGCTTGAGACGATTCTCGAAATCCCACAGCCTCAGAAAGACGCGGAGATCCGGCGGCAGTCCGCTGTCTTGGCGCTAAAAGACTTCACTGAGCTTAGGTTTCTTAATGGTGAAGATACTCGCGAGCATTTTTGCTCCATTTGCCTCAACGAGGACCCAGCAACGGAAGAAGCAAGACCTGTAGTCGGTTTGCCATGCGGTCACCACTTCCACGAAGATTGCGTGATCGACTGGTTCAGCACGAGTCCAACATGCCCCCTTTGTCGCCAATGCTCCCACACATGGTGTGCCAATGCTCCCACACATGGTGTGCCAATGCTCGATTAACTCATCAAGAATGACATTTTAGCTGCCTTTTCATACACGTGTCAGCAGCAATTTAATTACTCGCAGAAGCAAGCAGCATTTCATGGCGAGGCAACTCAAGCAGTACCTGTCAATGACATAATTTTTAGAAAGTGCGTGAATTCCAATGGCAAGGTAGTATATCGTATCCGAAGCCTTGCCAACGCTTTTTAAGCGTCACCGCACTTCTCTCGCGTTTTATACAACCTCTTGTCACGTGGCCAGTTCGTGTATAAAAACTCTCGTCACCGAAAATGGCAATAAGACAAGTTACCGAGCTTTAAGTAATATAATTCACATTTTCTCGTCGCGATTATATTATGATTAACAATCCAATATCACGGATGTCAATACAACGGCACAACAGTAGTTGGGTGATCATAGTTTACTCGCAGGGCTACGTAATCCTAAGAGATAGGTGACAACTCACCCTATCAGACGTCGCTTCAGAATTAAAGCAGACGAGCTGTTCCAAAAGATGAAGCCAGTAGGATGCTGTACACCACGTAGAGAGAAAAGAGCCACTTCATGGAACTAGCTTCAGCATTAAATCGTGTGCGATATAATGGTCTGTGCAGCCAAGCCTCGTAGACTCAAAGTTGCTTCATTGTAATTACATTGTTTGCAGATAGACCATTAAAGGCGTAAGTCTCTGGAAGCTGACGCCAACGACGCCGGACGTGTCGTAAACAGTATGATGCGGTGGCTTCCTTGTTGTGAACATCGTTGGCGAGGCAGCGCCGACATTACCTCCAATAACGCCGTTGAAGGTAATAAGAGATCGCCGGCAAATACTGCATGCGATGACGCGCCATCTAAGTTAAAGAAAGCAGCAACCTTGCTAGACTACGGTGTAAGGTACTTTGCCTGATGATCGTGGCGTCCCCATCGTTGAGCTTGCCGCCTGATGTTGAGAACGCACATTGGAAGGGTTGCCAGCAGTTGTTTTGGAAAGTCAGTTGAGGCTTAACAACGCCACCTCAGACACCGGTGGAATGTTTTCATCAGCCATACATGAAGCCGGAGCCGGTTGCTCGGCCGCCGCCACCTGCCCAATGTATATGCGAGCCTCGTAGTGATAGCTGGCAATAATGTTGTATTTGTAAATTGTTTTTTTGAAATGCTGACTTCTTTCCAAATCTCAACGTACTTAAATTGTAAAGGCCACATCAGACGAGAGAGTGAAAGGAGACCTAAATAAATCTAAATGCAATAGCCGCACACCAGCAACGAACTTTTAATCAGCATATGTAAAATCATCCCACAGACAGCAACGTTTCGATTAATATCAAGCATTGTGTTGCTGTTTGGGTGAATCGGATCTCTTCTTCAGTTTCAAGCGCCCTGTTTATGCTATAAAACGCATAGTCTTCCCAGGCCAAAAGCGAGTTGAACTTCAAGATTGAAGTTGTTTCGCTAGTTCAAGCAAGATTAATTTCTCCCATTATCGATTAAGCGCAGCAAAAAGCCTTTGTTAGCTTTCCACGATACCAAACCATCTGCTGCACTAAACAACAGGTGCAGCTTTTTGGCAAAGCATGCTCTCTTCTTCCTTATCGGCGTCTTCATTGCCATCAACGGCCGCACTACCGTCCCAATATAAGCACGCGTCGATGAAGACTGTTGTCGAATTGCCTAAGTTAAGGATCCCAATCGAGGCGACTCGTCAACCATACAAAACAGGCCGAAGCTTTGACAATACCCATAGGAGAGGTTCTGCCGCCGTGTATTACTCAACGCTACCAGTTTTCTTCAAGACGAAAGAGTTGCTAAGCGTCACCGAGCAGTTGCCACACCAGCCTACCATGCGCTCACCGTCGTCTCCGTCCACTTTCTTCACTCAGCCAGAAACGACAAAGGTATGTCATTTGTAATTAAGTGTTGGCTGACCACAGCTTCATTTTTGACAGCAAAATATCCATGTACCGTTTGCTAAAATGTGTTGGTTGCAAACTTTTCTAAGTCTTATATTGTAATACCACTATGATATTTGAAGTTCGGCTTAGCCCCACTCCTCGAAGCCGCTGAGCAAGTACGTCCATCAGCGGCCGAGACTCTGCCGCCACTTTATGGCCACACTAGGCCACACAAGCGAGAGCACACTCACACTATTCCCACTATTATGCATGCCACGGCTTGCTGTTCAAGCGATAATTTGGCAGTGTCGAAGAGAGCCCGCATCGACTCGGACGTAGACCTGGACGTGCAGGCTTCAAATACCTTGCTTGGTCGCATGCCTCTTCAGTCCATGATCTACCCTTTGGCTACTCAGCAGCAGCTGCCACCACAAGTGCTTTACAACCAGCCGAATGAACGATACGCCTTCTCGTGCGTGTCGACAACCAAAGCACAGAGTCCCAAAATGGCCAGTTTACAATCACCACGTGCACACGAACTGCCGATTTACTCGGGTGCCTCGGTCTGGGAAGTTGTATTGTCTACAGGCAAATTTCCGGCAGACGTATGCCTTAGTGAAAACGGAAGTGGGGGTGAAACATCCCAAATTGCTATGTTAAACCTTTGCGAGATCCAGTCTCGAAGTGAAGATGTCACTGACACAGAAATCAATAGTGAAGCGAAGCAGGACCGGTCGCCGCCTGTTAACGTAAAAGAGCATACCCCTGCAATTATTCGGGACATAAAGAAAGGAGAGGTGGTTTTCCCACTTAGCGCATCGATACGGAAGCTCGCTGGCAATACCCGACAACGCCAGACCATGCGGATCAGCAAGAAGTCTCCCAGCTATTTTTTGAGTCTTCGTGGCCCGATTAATCAGGAGCACGAGTCTACGGGTTTCCGCGACGGGTCGTTTAACCCGCTTAGTCTCAAGTCAATTATGAATTACGAGTCCAATGCATCACCATCCTCCGATGTTCATGTTGTGGCAGAGTCGATTGTCCAGTCGAACATCATTCGACAGATATCAAGCAGCAGAAGCGTCAAGTCAACGAAGCAGCCGACTCAACGAATGCTTAAGCGGTCCGACTACTCGCAGCACGGCATGGTTCGTAGTGGCCGGTGGTCGGTGGAGGAAGAAAATTACGCCAAAGCAATGATCAAGGCGTTCAAGGCCGGTTACCTTCCACTACATGGCAATGTGTCATTACGCAAGTTTCTGTCCGAGGTGCTGGTGTGTCACCCGATGCGTATCAGCAAAAAGTTTGTAGGTTACGTTCGTAAGTACCATTGGTACCGGATTGCCGCCGGCACGTGCGACTCGAAAGCCAAGCAGCAGGCGTTGTACCAGTTGAGGCATCTTGAGCGTGCATTCTGGACATCTTTGCAGCAAAGCCGTGAATGTCCTTCCGGCTTCCATCACGACGACTAGTCGGACGGTTACGGTCAAAGTGGTGACAAGCCACTTAAGGTTTTACTAAGTAAACAAGACCGAACGAAGGACAGCAGGCTGCTTTTCTAAACGGCAGACGTGTATAGTTGTAGTATTTGTGTAGTAATGGTAAGCTGATGTGGTGAAATTATGCGTTGCTAAAGCATTTTGCTTCATGTCATTTCGTTTGTATTGCTGCTGCACTTTTTTTTGCCTTCCAATAAAAATAAATAATGGTACTTGGTCACCTTCATAAAAATTTGAGAAAAATTAAACATTGAGACGTTTTTTTATTTTGTCGGTCCCAACGTCCATTACTTTAGCATATCTTGCAAAATATGGAATTGACTCGGCGCTTTTTGTCGCAGGGCAGACGTTTCCCTAGTCAGCGACTTGCTTCCTCTCACATCTCAAAATCTGCTCGCTTCCATGCCCGTAAACGTCCACGTTTGCTGCCCTATCTGTCTGTAGCAGTGGGGATAGGCGCTGCATCCCTGGTGATGGCTATGTCACCTAATGATGCAAGGCGACTACGCACCACTCTACACATGGGAGTGTTAATTCTTCATGAGAGCAAATTTGTGGCAACATTTGAAGAAGCAGCGTCGCTGGTGACGCAATGGAGGAAGATCGTGAGCCGTGGTGGCGTGGAGGATGAGCTTTTTAAGCGTCTACTGAACTGTATCCTACGTCATTCAGACGACATGCAGAGCCACGATACTTTGCGCTTTCTCATAGATCAAGGAACATTGCCTCTGCTAGTCGAGTATATTGCATGGAGCAAGCCCGCAGATCGGACAAGGCTACAACGTGTGCTGAATTCTTTTTCATGATGATGTTAACACTGTTTAATGGGATTTTATTCATGCATTTACAATGTAGATCTAATCCGCTGTCTTATCTTACTACTGGAGGCTGCTACAGCAATTGGACAAACGGAACTGCGAGTGTCGTTAGCGTCGTTAGCCCAGACTGTGAGTCTCTTTGCCCAATATAAGGACAATGTCGTGAGCTGCGATGATCTGCTGCGATTAGGCGACGCTCTGTTAAAGATGAAGGACTTGGCTTGTAAGGAAATGGAAGAAGGCACGGCTGCGTCTCAAGCTTTTGCGGTTTGCCGCTCAGAACTGGCAACTTCAGACTCCTCGCATGTTGCTGAGAGTTGTGCTGCTCTGCTGACACTTTGCTCTCCAGATATGCCGGTCTCCATGAAAAAGGTTGGATTGTGGGCACTTAACGCTCTTGTACAGGCGGTCAATCGAGAGAAATCAAATGCTGTACAGGCACAGCAGCTGGAAGCAGTCTTAGGACCGAGGTTTGCCACCATGCTGCTAGCACTTCCACGGGATAGTGCCTTGGACGTGCAATTACAGGCTGCTACAGTGGTGGATAGTATACTCCATGTCGCTCGGCGAAACCCAGCTGCAGTGACGCGTGAGACGTACGAGTTATGGATGGAGCAGATACGCTATTGGACAGGCACCGAACAAATTGAAGACGAGCTGAAGCCTACGAACCGATTCTGGATTCGACGGAAATCTGGTCAATTTGCCTTAAGCGAGAATGAAGAAATCAAGCAAGAAAGACACACATCACGCTTACAACTTCAGCTAATCAGCTCACGATGCATGCGCACCCTTACAGTATCTCCGCAAAGCCGCCGCTACGTTTGCGAGTCTCCGAAGACGATAGCAGCACTTTTCAAGCTATCGCGTCAGATTCACGAGAAGAAGCAGACGAACGAAAACACAAGTGACGAAGATTTGGCAAGAAAATTGAGAAGTCTTCAGCGGCATGCATCGTGGGCATTTCGCAACATTTGTACTGGATTTCAAAGTGGCGCGATGGCACTTCATTGCTTGTTTGATGTATCCTCGACGGCATCTCTTTTGCAATCTCGTCGAGACATGCCCATGTCACGTTTTTTCCACGGCAGTAATGATCTCACAGACTTACCCATCATAGGTGCTGATGAGTATGAGGCTAGCACTGAGTTTGGGTGGATCGACATTTTGACTGCTTGGAGCGCCAACCCGGATCTCCATGTGCGTAAAAACGCTATCACTAGTCTTGTGTACCTTGCTGAGCAGCGTCGGCCACGTATTATGGGGCTACTGTCCGAGGACGAGAGGGTGATCCGCAGCAAGCAAAAGCATATTCTCCAAGCGTGGCTCACAAATATGCTTCAGCAAATTCGTTTACTATCGGGTGGCGAACTCCTTGCAGTGAAGCAAGTGGAGGAGATCGCCAACGTATCGAAGGAGCTGACCCCCGGCAACGAGCAAATTCTGTTTAATCTCGCGGTTGTCGATGCGGGGACGTCAGCTTTAGCTGTTTTGGCGGAACACCACCACGCTGAGCTAGTGCAGCAGGGTGTAGTTCCTCTTGTAGCCTTGCTAGCTGCAACTAATGACAGCACAATAGCGCAACATACACAGTGCGCACGTGTGTTGGCGAACCTAGTTGCTACATATTGTCTTGACATCGACCCGCGAAGCTCCGCGCTTTCCATTGATCCGGCCCGGGATAATGTTATCAGCGACCACGTCGACATCTCGAAACTTCTTGAGGAGTCGGTATCCGGGAAGCAATTTCTCGGTAACATCTGTCGCTGGCATGAGGTCGATGACCCAATGCAGCGCTCGAGTTACTTTCGTGTCGTACAGAATTTTAGCGCCTATAACGAAGGAGTGAAAACAGGTCGCCTGGTGAAGGATGTGTACTGTGAAGGTGTACACCCGATAATCTCTCAAAGCGACATCGATGCTATGGAGCAACCCACAGACGACGAAAGTGCTGCCCGGCTGATCGATGTGGTTTTCATTCATGGCCTGCGTGGACATCCTTTTGGTACATGGCGCACCGATATGAGTAAGAAGCCAGGCGGACACAATGAGATTTGGCCGGACGTGCTGCTCGCAAAGGACTTACAGAGCCATAATTTACGTGCTCGGTTAGTGACTCTGGGTTATGAAGCTGGTATGGTGAGTTGGTCTAGCCCGTGGCCTTCGCTAACTCTAGAGGAGCGTGCAAGCGTCATGCTTTCAGCCCTCTACGCTGCTAATATTGGCTGCGACCGCCGCCATCCTGGCGCACCCTCTCGTCCTGTCGTGTTCATCGCGCATTCGATGGGTGGTTTACTGACGAAAAAGATGCTTTTGCTCGCGCGTGGGCAGCGCGATCAACCTAGCCTGGCTGACAGCACTACAGGAATAATATTTCTTGCTGTTCCCCACTTTGGCTCCGACCTAGCGAACGGCATGCGGTCGGAGTCGATTCGAAAATTATTTCAGACGCATCCAGCCATTGAACATCTCGTAGCAGACCCCGACGGATGTCTCAAAATTTTAAATGATAAGTTCAAGTTACTAGGCATCGACTGCCTCAGTGTCGGCGAGCAGAGCGCTTCGCCGGTGGCTCTTGGCCTCTCCGCTGTTGTCGTCAAATCTGACTCGGCTGATCCAGGTATAGGCCGCTTTTACGTGCTACCCAAGTCCGACCACATGACAATCTGTAAGGTCAAAAGCCGCCGCGAGCCACTTTACCAAGATATGCTTCAATTTATCGTCCAGCATGCCACAATGGTTGGTGGTACTCATTCGCGGCAACAGTCACTTAATCGTCAAAAAGCGCCTTTAAACGACGAACATGACTATTGATCAGTCAATTCGTAGGTTTGATGTTATACGACAAGTGTAACATTATCGAGTAAACGTCCGTCCGCTACTAAATCAGGCAAAATGGGTTAGATGATGACTCCGTAATACGACTGACCTTCTACCAAAAGTTTTGGCTGGTTCAGGCTTACGCATGCATTTACGTGCATACACACCAATGTGGTGTGGCTGTACTTTGGGTACAAGAGTAGGTTCGATGTGACCGTACCTAAAGTACGAAGGGTCGGGTGCGAGTAGCTGCCACGTTTTGAACGTCCCATTTATCCCGTATCTTTGATTTTTAGCTTGAAATTCTGAAACAATGCACGTAACTCCAATACTGATTGCACTAGCGCACCTTTATGTTTGTCTGAGTTCTTTACTTTACATTCCAAGAGAACCAGGCTCTGAATATCTGCTGGTCTATCAGGCTACTCTATCAGGTGCAACGCAGAATGCGTAGCTGTTGTCCATCAAAAAGCATATGCCCTTAAGCACAGTTAATGCACATGTATCATGCATTCGTTACTTATAATAATGTCCTTCTTTTCAACGAAACATAATGACAGGAATAGAAAGTATAGCAAGAAAGAGAAAACTTTCTATTCCTACATGTCCATGTATTGGAAGTCAATGCAAGATTAGATCGATACAAACTCGTAAAAACACTTTCTTTGCGTAATGAAGCAAGTATCAAATTGAATGTTTACGCAAACAAAAAAGACCGTTCGATATACAATGGAATGTCTGGGAAACGGCACATTACATTCACCACGACAAAATGATCCAAGACGATTAAGTAATCGATTTTGTCTTTTCCAGTGTCATTATTCAGTTTGCTTTTGCTCGTAAACACTAGTTTTGCTCTCAAAACGTTTGTGACGACAAGCTTCGCTGATACTATGTCGCCTCAAACGGACTTAAAATCCGTATTTATAGCGTTCATACTGAACATCCTCTTGTCTACATTCGTACTTCATTCGATCAACACAGTACGAAGGAATGATAATGCAAACGGGCCATGAAAGGTCGTGATCATTTGCATCCAAAGCTGTGTGCACTACCAGTCATGTCACTACCCGAGTCTCAAGAACTTGATCAGCAACCAAAACAAGTAGTCTGGTGTGAACAGGATTTGTGTACCTAGTTGGAACCAGCACATTCCACAGTATAGTGACTCCTGTTTTGCCCATGGCGGTTACACAAAGGTGTGTATTGTACATACACACCTGCCACACCATTGTGGTGTGGCTGTACTTTAGGTACAGTGGTAGGTTGATGTGACCGTGCCTAAGGTACGAAGGGCCGCATCGTGGCAAAGAGCCATGTGTTCACTATACTTAGTTTAGGTATGACGAATACAAATCTCTGCATATTAGGAGGCTGGCTACAGAGCCAGATAAATAGTGACTAACAAGTAGGTGCTTCCATAATTAGTGTTAGAAGATGAACATAAACATAAATCAGTTTCAAACCTGCTCTGAATATCATACGTGCTAGAGCCTAAGTCATTGCAAAGAATTTGGTATCTGTACGTTCAGGTGTCATTAGATGGTCTGGAAGTTCTCCGAAAGTTATCTTTGAGGTCAACATGGTGCATGCACCTGACGACAAGATACTGACCCTGGAGGGTCGAGTGACGTCATCAATGGATGTTGTCTTTGAGGACAACGAGGTGCAAGCACCTAGTGACGAGCAACTGGCCCATGAGGGTCGGGTGAAGTCAAAAATGATGGTTGTCTTTGAGGACAACGAGGTGCGAGCACCTCATGACGAGGCATTGACCCAAGAGAGTGGGGTGCAGTCAGTAAACGAAGTGGTCTTTGACCTTGAGGTATGTACACCTGTGGACGCTGATGCGTCGGATGCTGATAGCATCATGAGTAGCGATGATAATATCGTGCCTGACGGTGATAGCGAACAGCTATATACATACATCAATGGTTTGATTGGGGATGTTGAAGATCCGGTGGCTCTTTCAACTTTACCCGCAGTAAGTGCTCTGTTAGAGCTGGACGAGTTGTCCTTTGCCAGGTTTGGCAGTGCCTTACAGGCCGGTGACATCGCCGAAGTGGTCATTATACGACCTGAGGAGGAGTTGAACTCCTCATCGCTCTTGGATAAAGCAGTTCTTGAGGATAACAAGAAGGCGCTGAATGCGCGTAGTGGATCACAGATCTTGAAGGACCCTTCGGATCCTTATTTTCCTTGGTTGAAGGAATATGGAGGTGTTGTCTACAGAGAACCTCCTACGAGGTTACCTACGGATAGAGGTGTACGTCATGAGATTGACTTGGTTCCAGGAACCAAATATTGTGTGACGCAACAGTGGCTGCTGCCACGAGAGCAATGTGAATTCATTGACTCGTTCTTTCGTGCGAAGCACGCGGCTGTAATGGTGCGTGAGAGTAAGTCTCCTCACTCTACGCCCACGTTTTGTGTGAAAAAGACTAATGGGAAGTGGCGAATAGTGCATGCTTACAATAAGCTGAATGCAGCCACTATCCCGGCTCAAACGCTGATTCATCGCAAGGATATTTTTCAAACAATATGGTGGGATGTACAATGTACAGTGCCCTCGGCATAGTCGATGGATATTACCAACTACTCATGTGAGCTAGTGATATCCCCCCTCACAGCGAGCCAAAAAGACCTCTACAAGTAGTTGGGTTTGGCCAATTACTTGCAAATGTATACTCACAACTATGCGGAAGTGGCTAGGCCATTGTTAAACCTCCTTAACAAGGATGTGGAATGGTGTTGGAACACCGAGCACCACGAGGCTTTTGAAGCCATTAAGGGGAGTCTCCTTCAGGCGCCAATTCTGGCTTTGCCTGATCCTGATCGCCCGTGTGTGATGCTTCGGACTTTGCCATTGGCAGTGCACTCTTGCAAGTTGACGCTGGGGGTTAAGAACGCGTCATCGCGTTTGAACCTCTCTAGCTGAAAGCTGCAGAGAAGAACTATTCAGTTCATGATAAGGAGATACTCGCGATGAGATATTCCTTGTTAAGTTCAGGTTACACCTGTTGGGCTCAACGCCGTTTGTGATCTATACAGATCATGCTTCGTTACGGACAGCGACACAATTGCCTCATCTCTCGCAGAGAATGGTTTTTTGGCTCTCCTTTTTCGCGGAGTATAACTTCGAGGTGAAGCATAAGCCGGGAAAATCGAATGTTTTGGCTGACGCGTTATCGCGTAGACCTGACTATGAGCTTGCTCATCTCACTGTTGTGTGTTCTTCAGTCACGGAACGTATTTGTGTGGCGTATGCACGCGATGAGGAATGTGTTGCCGTTCTGCAGGCGCTAGGTAGCGCAGAGTGTGAAAGCTCTAAGGTGAAGCTGTCACCGCGTAATCGTGCGAGAGCACATCGTTATGCACTGAATGATGGTCTGTTCGCAGTGTTTGTACTGAAACACCCAAGCAATGGAGCACGATGCTCTTACTCAGTGAGTTTGCGTTAAACAACGCGGTGCATGCATCGACAGTCTTCACTCTGTTCTATGTGAATGGTTTGGTCAACCCTCGCGTTCCTTTAACGCTACCCCCTGTCGCTTCAGGGCTTAGTGGGGGGAGATAGCCGATACTTGGCTGATATCAGCTCTGTTGCGATTCGCAAGAAGGTGGAAGCGTTTCTTTCAACGGGTTTTGCGTATAAGGTCGCGTCAAAGAAGCCATGGCTGAAAGCCAGGATGTTCAAAAGGAACAAGCAGATACCAAAGGCAGAAAGAACGAACACGAGTTCAAGTGGGAGATTTGGTTATATTAAACGCTAGGAATTTACCTACTCGCGCAGTGGTTGCGGTATACAAAACCAAAATACGTCCACGCTTTATTGGACCTCTAAGGTTTATAGCAAGAAAGGCTTAGCCTATACGCTGAACTTTCCGAAGAAGATGCGAACACACCTTGTATTATATGTTGGCTTGCGGAAGCCATGTCTTAACCTTGCCTTGGTGGACTTCGACCGGTTGTCCTCAAACCCTCGACCGAAAGAGGTGGGTAGTGCGGCATCGAAGGTGCATATGGACGCTGATGGCGCACCAGGAGATCGTGGATCGATGGGTCACCGAACCCCGTGAACGCTGACGGGTGAGTTGGGTCATCAACAGTTTCACGTCGATCGTCTATTAGCGCGGCGTCTTCACCAGGGTCACACCCAGTATCTTATAAAGTGGAGGGAGTACCCACAGTCGTATGGCTCGTGTGAGTACGAGGTATCCCTTCGGCAAGACTGCCCGGACGTCGTTGAAGCTTCTGATCCCTAGCACTAAGTGCTGTGGAAGCAAGGTAGGTAGTTAGGCTTCACTTCTTAACTTCTTGGAAAGCAATTGCCGGTACCTAACTCGCGTGAGATTTACTATTATGTGCTTCAGAGGCAAAATTACCGCGTATATGACTTTGTGTATATAATACGCAAGTCGTAAAGACTTTGAGATCTCAAAGAGCAAGTGGATATAGCACTTTATGGCTCAATGAGCATGTGCTGGGCACTTCGGCGCAATTAAGTAAGTGTGAAACACTTAGATGCTACATAAGCACGTGTTAATCATTATGAAGCTTTAAAAGCAAGTGTGAATCATATAAAGCTTTATAAGCAAGTTTACAACACTTTGGGGCTTTGCATAAGAAAAGTGGTAAATAATATTGTGCTTCATAAGCAAAGTAACACTGTGAGCCTTTATATAAGCAAGTGTGAAGCTTTATCAGGAGTGTGCAACACTTTGGAAATTTATATAAGCAAGTGTTAAGCGCTTAAAAGTTTTGTATAAGCAGGTGTTCAACACTAAGGTGTTCACGTTAAAAGCACGTGTTCAACATTTAGGTGCTTTATAAGAAAGTACTAAGCACGAAAGTGCTTTAAAAGCAATTGTGGTGCAAAAACGTGCTTTATAAGCAAGTGTTGAACACTTAGGTGCTTGATAAGCTAGGGTTTGACATAATGCGCATTATAAGCTAGTGTTAACATTACGGTGCTTTGTGAGCAAGTGTTACGC